ATTAAAGAATATTTTTTAGAATTATTAAAAAATATATATATACAGCTGTTATTAAAGTTTTTAGATATTAGAAAAATATTAGTTATAATAAACTACTAGACTAATTCTAATCAGAAAGTATTTCTTACTTTAACTAGATATTTTTTAATAAAAAATATAAATTATTATAAAGTTCTACTAAACTTCCGACTGGTATCTAAATCTTATATTAGTAAAAATCTAGCTATAATTATTTTATTAGTTTTATATAAACACAATCTATTCTATCGGTTATTAGATATAACAACTAATAATACTAATAATAATAATTTAATATTTAGTATAATTTTATCTAAACTTTAAACTTAGTTTAGCTAAAGTATCTAGGTTTATAATATTTTATTTAACCCTAATCTTATAATAATTATTTAAAGCTAGTATTATATATTCTATCTTATTTATATAATTCAGCTTATAGTTAATATTCTTCTATAGAAACTTCAGATTAAGACCTTAAATAATACTATTAAATATATATAAAAAAATTATAATAAAAGTCTTAAAGTCTCTTCTGGTATTTTAAGAATTTTTAAAAAGATATATTCTAGAAGCTATCTATAAAAAACTAATATAAAAAGCCTCTACTATAGTAGAAATTATCTGAATTAGTCTTTTATAAATAGATTTTAAAAATCTTCTTTTAATAATAGCTAATAATACTAATTCTTAATTATAGATTTAAAAAATTATATAATTTATAAATATAAGTTTTTAATATTATAAAAAGTTTCAGTTTATTTAATAATTCGAATCAGACTCAGTCTACTATCTTTTTTTTAATTATAAAACTTACTGAAACTTAATCTATTTTATAATTTATTAGATATTTAATCTTTATTAAGCAATTAACAGTTTTATTTAGTACTATAATTATAGTAATATTAATTATCTTTATTTTACTATAATTAAATAAAAACAGATAAAATATTTTTTTAAGCTTTTATATCTTTTTTTTTTTTTTATATTATATCTATCTAAGAACAGTAGGCCTATTATTTATAAAATTTATAATATTTATAATAATCTTTTTAATTATTTAAATTATTTAATCAACTGACTGGTAAGAAAGCGGGTATTTTAAAAAAAAAAAATTTTTAAAAGCTTATAAAATATATATTAAAAGCTCCGAAAATATTATTATTATATTTATCAGACAGAAGACTATATTTATATAATTATAATTATTCTAAATCTAATATCAAAGCTTAAGAAATTCAAAAAAAATATCTGACTGGATAATAATACTAATTAATATTTTAAATATCGAACTGTTTTTAAAAAGATATTCTATTTTTATTATAATTAGAATCTGGTTATTAATATATTATTAACTATCTCCGGGTTACTGTTAGGCCTGGATAAAGTTTTTTATAATATTTTTAAATATTAAAGACTCTTACCGGCAGCTGAGATATTTAAAAAACTTAAAATATATTTAAATATTAAAGATATATAGCTTATTAAAATATTTTTAATTAAATTAATATTATTCTAAATATTATAAAATATATTAATATTCTTGCTTACTAGAAGTCCCGCCGTAATTAGTTTTTGATTTTTTATTAAATAGCTAGAGATTTCCTCTTAGTTGCTATTAATAGTATTAGTATTAAATATTTATTTAATAATTTTTAAGATATCTACTATTATTATTAGAACTGTCTTTATTCTAATATAATTAAAATAGTAATACTTTAGATATATACTAATTATTTTATTATTAATAAAAAATATTAGAATATTTTTAATAATCTTAATCCGGATTCGATTATCTTTATATCTAAAAAATAAAAAAAGAATAAGATGATTACTATTTTCTATATTAATAAAAATAAGAATATAAATAATCTTAAAAATAATCTAGAAAATAGATTATTATTAGAAATAGAAAAGCTAGCTTTATCTAAATCTTTAAATATTATATATACTTAGATAAAAATAAAAATCTGGTCTTCTCGATTTCTTTGCTATTATAATTATTATTCTAAATAATATAAAAAATAGTATAATCTTATTAGTTTATTTAATATTAAATTTTATATTTCTTATACTGGATTCTGTAAATATTTTTTTTAAAGTATAATATACTTCTCGGAACTACAGAAGAAGAGATTAAGTAGATTAAATAAATTAAATAGATTAAATAAATTAAATAAATTAAATAGATTAAGTAAATAAGCTAAATCTAGATAATATTATTATACTATAATTAAAAGTATATTATATTTTATATATTATCTGTATAAAAAAGATATATATATTACTAATTAATCTGCGGTTATTAATCTACCTGCTATACCTAATCTTTCTAATTAGTAGATATAAATAGTTAAAATAATAGTTATATTTTAATCTAATTATAACTGTACAGTTAAAATTTTTTTGTATCTTAATCTGACCGCCAGATTATAGTCAGATTAAGGTTAAGGTATAACGGTCAGGTTAATCCACTCTAACCTAATCTGACCTGGCCGTTAACCACTCTAGTTCAGATTCAGATAAAAAATAATTAAAAAAATCTTTTTAAAGAATTTTAGACTTTTTTAATCTTTTTAAATATAATTTAAAATAAGTAATACTTATAACTAAATATATATAGAAACCCGGGAATAATTTTAGATAATATACTAAGGCCGATTTTTTCTTTAGAACTTTAAAAAGTCTAGTAAATATATTATTAAGTTTTTTTTTTAAAATTACTATAATTTTATAATCTTAATATAGTTATAACTTAATAAAATCTTTTTTTAAAGACTATATCTCGATACTAAGTATTATAATATTATTTTATATTTATCTATATAATTTATAATATTTTAAACACAGTTATTCTAGCCGGAAAATTTTAAAAATAATCTTTATATAATTATATAAATATTTTAAGATTAAGTATAGTTGGCAACTCTATACTATATATTAAAATATATAAAAATAAGTAAGTAGAAGTATTTTATATAAGTTTAGAATTATTTATATTTATAATAATAATTTTAGCCAGTCTGTAGTATTTGCTAGTAATATTATTATATAATAAAAAAAAATCTTAATTATTTAGTTAATTTTTTTATTTTATTTATCTTCCTGGGTATAGCTGGCAGTAGTAAAATATTATTTTATTTTTAGTAATATAAGTAATATTATTTATAATTTTAATAACAATTTTAAATTTCTATTATTAATTAGAACTTTCGGAATATTTTAATCTTTAACTATAAGTTTTTTAAGAAAAGGTCCGGTCTATTATATAATATTTTAATTATAGTAACTAGAGATTATTATAATTCTTTTAATATACTTATATATTATGGCAAGTATAATATTATAATTTTTTTAATTTTTCTCTCCGGAAGGGCTGTAATAATATTAATTATTAATATATAATATAATACTAGCGGCGATAAAATAAATTATAATTATTTATAAAAATAGTATTTAAATATTTTTTTTCTTATACTTACTGTAATAGGCGATATATTACTTTATTTAATACCGGTAATATAGAAAAGTTAATTTATAAAGATTTTTAATTATATAGTTTTTTTCTAAGATATCTAAGAATATTATAAATCTTTTTAAGAATTTTCTTAAGTATAAATAAAGATATATACAGTAAGTTTTAAAAGTTAAAAAAAAGTTTATTATTTATATAAAATAATAATTCCACCAAAGCTTAGGCTTTATTATTTTTTTTTTAATCTGATTAATAATTTACAATTATTTTTTATTATTTAAATAGATATTTTGAGTTTTTTATTTAAAATTATTAGTAAGATATACTAGTAAAATTACTGGCTTATTTTATAAAATATCGGTATATAATATATTAAAATAAAAATTATTATTATCAGCTATATCTATAGTAAAAAATAATAATTCTAATAATATATTGAATAATATACAGTCTTTTTAGTTTATATATAATAAGAAATTGGAATTAATAAAAATACTAGATTATATAAATAAAATATAAATACAGTTATATTATTAATATTAATATTAATAAAATTTACTTAAATAATAGCTTAATTATCTAGTAGTTAGTATAGACTACTGTTTTTTATATTATTTATATAAAATATCTATATTTCTGTATTACTTAAAAAAGTCCGAATATTTCTAATTTAGTAGACTAGTAATTTTTTTTTAGAATACTTAATTCGCGACTTAAAAAAAATTAACTAGATAATATTTAATAGAAAGACTTCTATTAATATCTATTTGGTACTATATTTCGGGCTTAAGAAATTATCTAATATTATATAAAATAATATAATCTTTATATTTTTTTATTTAGACGTATCGACGTCGATATAAAATATTCTGATTTTATTAAAATAGACTAAAACTAGTTTTTAGTATAAAATATTTTTAATTATTTCGAACAACTGTATCTTCCGGTCTGTTAATTTGATTAATAAAGATTTTAAAGTTTGGTTTTATTTTATAGTCTTTTTCAGGTCTTTTAGAATTATTTTAATTAAAAGAATTTCTTTTGCTGTAAAAAGCAGATTATTTTAGTATAAAATAAAATATAGTCTTTTAGTTAATTTATTAAGCTAATAAAATAATTTAACTTACTTAATATTTTGAAAAAATCTAGTTTTATAATTACAGCAATTTTTAAGTTAGTTATAATTATATTAAAGATATTAATATTCTAATCTAAAATTTTAATTAAGGGGAACC